TACCCTGGGATTAAGGGAAGGTTTGGTGCTGTGAGGGATTTTGTTAGCTCATAAGGCAATCACTGACTAAAGAGAAAACACTAAAACGAAAAATAGATTGGGGGAAAAAAAAGGATGTCTCTTAAAACTCTACAGTGTCTGTGGTGAAGTCATCTCTGAAGGATATTTTAGTCTTTCCCACGAAAGTGCAGGGATTTCTGAACCACCTGCTTGTCCACTTCTGCCAAAGAGACAAACATAGTTTCATCTCCTTCAGAATATGATTGAGAGGGTGGAGACCAAGTTAACATCATAGAAACATTTTGTCATTTATTCATCTCTCTCTTCAGGAAAGTAGATTTTGACCCCTCAGATTACTTGCTCATCACTAAGGAGAGAAAAATTTCTCTTTTATGTGCAGAAGGACAGCATACATGTTCACAGATGAGCAAGATCTTTAAAAAACAGAAAACAAACTAAAAGAAGAACAAGAACACTTGAGAACAGATTCAAACTTTGCTGAGTATGTTACTTGCAATAATTTGATTTACAAGCATGTTTCAGTGTAACCCAGCCCTCGCTCCATTTTGAAACTGAAACCAGTCTACCAAGCTGCACTGAATCTGATGAGCCTGGGAATCATCACCTTGTGACTTCAAGCAAGATACCACTGCAAAATCATCAGTGAAACAGACACCTCATAACATGAAGGAAAACACAACAGTGCAGAACACAGGCCTTGTGCTCTTCAATTAGCTCTTTATAGTTAAATAATCTCTATGAAGTAGCCATTGCATGGTGGTCTGTGATTTCAGATGTGACTTCATGATATGGATGACCTCTTTCATTCTTTTATTTTTGCTACAAGCAGATATTTGCCCAGATGGCACATAATGCATCAAATGAGAACAGGTATCCTTTTTTTCTTCGGTTCACGTAGCTACAATCCCTGCTGCACAGTAATTGATCCAAAACAGATGAAAGATCACAAGTGCAAGGCACACACACCCAACCAAATCTTCTCCTCTGCTTTCTTCTTTCTTAGCAGTCATTGTTTACTGTTTTCTAAGGTATCCTACACTGTCATCCTTCTTGGTGGTACAGAGAAACAGGGCTTAAATTAGTTTCTATAGAGAAGTTTGCCACAAGATGCAAGAGTCATTTTCTCCAAGAGAAACCACAGAGACCCTTCTTGTGAACTACAATTCCCGTTACAAGAAGGAACACTTCTTCCTTACTTCTTTTTAGCAAGACAGCTTTCTTGTACACAGACCACATCAATATGTAATTTAAAGTGAAAACCAGATGAGACATAGATATGCAAAAAATCAAATTTTCCATTCATTAGTCTACTTTTGAGAGCCTAGGCTCAGAAGAGGGGAGACATCTTTTTGGGTGCCATGAGACAACTGATATCCACAAATTTCATGAGCCTACTAACATTTTTACCTTAAAAAAAAAAAAAGTTATTCTTTATTAACCTTCAAGGACATGGAAAAAGAGTTGTTCAATGCAGAAAATAACCCAACATACCAAAACACACAGCTGGAAAATTTTAAATGACACTGCTTCCATCTTGAGTGTTACAGTAGGGCCATTCAAGGGCTTAAGGACACTACAGAAGGGCAGCATTCTCTGGACTAGAACAGATCATCTTTCTGCCATGGTGAAAGGGCATGACATGGCAGCTGATATTCTGTCCAAAGTGTCAGGTGCATTTTGAGGGGTCCCTTAGGTGGTGTCACATCTAGGGGTCTGACAATTTGGGTTGTTTGGTTTTGTCCATTTCCGAGGTCCCTCTTTGCCTGCTGTAATTTGAAGCTTTGAACAGCCCTTCTGTTACTCATACCTACATCCTTTCAGAATCACACTAGCAGTAACATCCTGATGTAAACAGCCAACACTACAAATACTAAGAATGCCAGTCAATGTACAGGTAATAGGAACACCTAAATAAATGAACAGAGAAAGAGAACGTTAACAAGGCAGCCTACTAATACCAGAGTGTTTGTGCCTCTCTTGTCAGCTACATTCAAGTAGCAATAAAAAAGTTCTTAAAAACATACATTTAGGCTCTTTGTGCCTCTCAGCTACATTCAAGTACCAATAAAAAAGTTCTTAAAAACATACATTTAGTATGCCACTTCAATCTCTACTCATTCATTTTGATTCCTAAATCTGATAAATATTTGCTTTAGCAGATTCAATAGTAGGCAC